TGCATGCTCGTACCCCTCGCCTGTTGTGTGTGTGTGATTGGTGTTTCACTCAAGGAGGAGGAGCCCGACAGGGCTTATAACGACGCCGCAGAGTGCGGGACATCGCTCTGAACTGTGTAACGGTTCAACCACCACGTTTGTGGTTTGTGAACTCTCAACCTCTCTATGCTGTAAATAAGTGTAAATAGTGCCATGAACCTGTTTGTTTTTCGTATTCCCATCTTGCCAGCGTTCGTTTCCTCAACCTGAAGCTACACCACGCTACCACAAAAGAGCGGGCAGCCCCCGATCTGCAACAACTGGTGAACAGCGCCGGGATCGGCAACAACTGGTGGGCAGCGGTCGGATACCAAGCTACAAGGGACAACAACAGTCGGCCCAAGGAAAGCAGCTGGCTCGAGACTTGGATCACGTATGGGTGAGTGCTTGGCTTTTCCTTTGAGTGAACCAGGTTCTAAAAGAGGGTAAATTTTAGAACTGGTAGTTAACGTTGCCGAAAGACTCAGTTTCGCCGTTTGGGAAAGTTATTTTGGAAGTAGCGAGCACTCAGTACGATCATGGACTTGCGGGAGCTGCAGAAGTCAGACTTGTTGCTGTTGTGTGAGGAATTGGGGACCAATACAAAGGGTTTGGCACGAAAACCCATAATCATTCAAGTGATTAATGATATGGGGGCTGATGATGAGGAGCTCTGTGAAGCATGGGACCTCATCAGTCAAAGAAAGAGACAGCAGAAAGAGGAGGAAGAGAGGCATGAGCGTGAAAGAGAGGAGCGTCACTTATAATGCGAACGTGAAGCAGAAAGACAGGCGCACGAGATCGAGATCCGCAAACGAGAACTTGAGTTGAGGGAAAGGTTGGGCAGTGGTCCCCAGCAAGTGGTACCTTACCCCAACAAGGTGGCAGAGTTCAAGATGTCCCGGTACATCCAGCCATACATGGTATCAGGGGATATTGGTCTGTACCTGGTAAATTTCGAATGGATGTCCGAGAAAATGTCATTCGAGCAAGACACCTGGTCACAAAGGTTACTCACGGTTCTGTCCACCCGTCGTATGTGTCACCATCCGACTACACAGGACAGTGCTCGTGGATCCGCCATGTGGTGGAAGAGCAGAGCGTATGCTTGCCCGTCGCAACCGTTGTAATTGAGGGCCCCTTTGGTAAACTAACAACAGAGGCTGCAGTTTCAGAAAAACTCCCTAAATCTTATCCGTACTTGTTCTCAAACAAGTCGGATATATTATTGCGAGAGAAGGACATTATTTTCGGTGACAGGGTAGTACAAGCGTTAACCCGTTCAAAAACACGAAAATTGGCAACTCATTTAACGTCCGAGAAAAATGCTATAGAGGAAGTGCGTGATACAAAAGTGGTGAAAATGAAGAAAATCAGTTCAGACAAACGTGATAGCGAGACACTTGAGATCCGTCACTCAGAGAAGGAATCTAGCGAGTATGCGTTACTTCTGCCAGCATCAGACAGGTTCGCTTTACTTCTAAATGGGAACTGGGGTAGCTTGGCTACTGAGCAGTTGGAGGAGGATACCGCCATTCAGAAAATCGCAGAGCATGTCGAGAGCGAGGCCTTGGCCGGTCTGGACGTAGAGACCGGTTCAAAAAACGGTACTTGCGAGGAGGAGGTGGGGGCCAGCAGCCCTAATGGGCCCAGTAAGATGCTGGAAACCTCCTTCGTGCCCCAAGAGTACGTTTGGACATCGTCAAATGTAGGCATGATTAGCACAGTGGCGAATCAGAGCGAGGACGCGACGCTTCAGGAATGCAGCGATGTCATCGGAGAGGGCCCAGTTAATGGCTTCATCAGTGTTGACAAAGCTAATTTGGCCCGACAGTCCGTCGTGACGCAGAGTTCAAAAAACGTTATCAGGAGAGAAGACCTGGCACCAGCTCCAACGAGCTTCCCAACTTCTGAGGTCTTGACGCGACATGATGATGACATCGAGAGAAAGGAGGTACGCAAACATCGCCGAAAAAGAAAGAAGCGGAAGTGAGCCTAGGGCTGGTCCTACTCCTTCCCGACAGAGACGAAACGGCAAGCCAGGTGTGGAAGGAGAAAGGGAGGTGCGTCTCCCCAACGAAACGCGCGGTTCATTTCGAAGACTTCGGGAAAGCGGCCTTGCCAGAAGGGTCAAAGTCGAAAAGGCACAACGGCTAAGTACTGCGTGGGGGCGACCACAAAGACACTATTACCCAGGCTTCCCCCCTGTTTCTGGCGTCCCTTGCACATTCCTGAGGGGAGCCGGCCGAAATGCAGAATGAGGCGTGACAGCAGGACACAGTCTAGCGTTCGTGCTTTTTGTAACCTCTGGCGGGCTCGAAAGCCGCCGGGAATGCGACCCCATTGTGTGCGATTCAAGCGAATCTAATTGAGAAAAGGGGGCGCTCAGTTTGAAGAATTGTTGCACGTGCGTGCTAAGTGTGGTTACTTAGAATTGCTTTGCAGATGCAGAGTTCAGTCATAATTTTTGCAAGTTACGTGATGCGGTGTAAATAGTTCAGAAGGAAAACCGTTGAGCCAAAGGCTGAAAGTTAGCATCGAATCAGTTCAATCATGAGTGCGAAAATTTGCATAAGGTAAAAACCGAGAAAATTTGTCATTTTTCTAGTTTTTTCAAAGGTTTAGTGTGGCATCGTATGCCTTCACTACTATGGGGATGTGGCGTGAATGAGCATTTGAGGAAGATGTTAGCATAAACCAAATGATTTCGTAAATTGATTAAGATTGGCATGACACGGTACAGTTGTCGTTGCGCGCATAGAGAATTGAGAGTCATTGGGGCACGGTTTTAGCATGAACCAGTGCAAGTGTTGTTCGTTTTCTTTGAAGACGATTGATCAAGTGACCATATGAGCAGAACAGTAAGCTTTTGCTAATGTTGAGCAAACGAAGAGCATTTTGGCCACAGTGTAGGCCAAAAATTCAGAAAAGCTAGATAGCTTAATGTCTCCGTTGTCGACAAGTAGTGGCAGCCGTAAACAAAGACTGACGTTAGAACAATCTTAGCACTCGCTGAATACGATTTCCGGACTGATGCTCTCAGTGGGACAGAACTGATGAAAGTAGTCAGCGATGAAAAGAAGGAGCCTGCTGTTTTATATCAGGACGACCGTGGTATCAAGCAAAGCTGCGCTTTACTTGCGCCAGAATTTGGGCTCTCGTGAGATAACATACTGCGCTTCAGGAAAGGAGTGCGCTTGCATTGTGTAGGCCATTCATCAGTTGCAGTGTTATCTCAGAGGTGCTCAATTTAAAGTAGGGACAGACCATTTTCCCCTTACTTGGCTGCAAACCGCGACATCAAAGAACAGTCGCCTTGTGAGGCAGAGCTTGATTCTTTGAAAATATAATTTTGGCATTAGGTAAAGGGCAAATTGAATGGAAACGTTGACGCGCTCAGCCGCTCTTTCTAAGCCATTCTGGGGTGCTCAAAATTGATAGTAAGTGTGAATACACTTTATAAACGACCCCAAACCATCCACCGCCGTCGGCGGTGTCCGCAGTCTTCTCTCTATCTTTAAAAGAAAGAGGACTTGGCGGGCCGCAGCGCGACGCTCTACCGAATAAGCCACGGACGCGACGCTGATATCGGTGTCAGTAACGCGCCTTATACCCCCTCCCCCTTCGTTCGCTCCTCCGCTCTCCTCGCTTGCTGCAGCTGCGCGCGCACTCCTCTCTCTCGCGCACCCGCCTTCTCTCTCAGTCTCCCGTCGAGAGCGGATCGTGAGGGGGAGTAAAGTTAAAATTCGTTGGCATTCGCCAGTGAGTTAACGTAAACTCCCCGTGTGATCAAATTGCGATTCCCAGGAACCATTACATCATAAAGGCACCATAGTGTGATTAATAAACATAATAGTGCGAATTAATAAATACCCCTCATAGCATCACCCCGTGTATTCGCACTTAACCATGTTCACCCTCGGAGAAATGCTTGGGAGTTTTTTTAGTTTTTTTTTTCGTGCATCTTATTATGAGAATGGTTAAGGTAGCACGTTTGGTTTCTCAGCGCGAGTGAGTCCTGATAGTTTTGAATGTGAGCTTTTTGTTAAAGCTAGTGAAGAAAATTGGTTTGCCATCCCTCTTTTGATTGGTTTGTTCGAAGGAGGCCGAGTGCTTGCTTGTGCATGTGGTCGAGTTTCAGAAACGGTGTCGAAGATTCGGCAAATACCCAGACCATGCCACAAGCGAAGACCAGTTCCTGGCATTCAACTACGGACCCTCTCGTCGTCCCTGCGAGCAGCAGCGGTGACTGCTGCCCGTGACTCATCTGGCGAGGGGGAAACTGTTATGACCGTCGTCAGTAGGCGCCATGCTGTCGCTGAGAAGCGTAGCCAGGCAGCGCTCCCACGCCTGGAACCCCAGTTTTCTCGGAACCAGCGTCCAGAGCTGACGGGGGAGCGGCGCTCTTTTTGATCCTCAAACACAAGTAGCCGACTGGCCGGCTGCCTATGCCCGCCAGGTATTGTCCCTGCTAGCCGGAGGATGAGACGTCGTGTCGCCATGACGCCGTTCCAGAGAGGACAACAAAGACAGCATCTTCCTTGGAAGAAACAGCGGCCGCCGCCACAAATTGCCCTTGTCAGCGTCCGTTTCCTCAACCCGAAGCTACACCACGCTACCACAAAAGACCGGGCAGCCCCCGATCTGCAACAACTGGTGAACAGCGCCGGGATCCGCAACAGCATGTAGCTTTGGTGAACTCCTCATGTGAAATACAATGGCAAGCAGCCATGGGACAATTTCCAAGGGAGTCTAAACAATGAGCTCTTTTTAGTTTTTTTTATAGCCACCTTGTGCTCTTCAAAGGCAATGTTAGCATACTTCGAACACTACATTGATTTTTTTTTTGTAATGTAGAGAAGCAAAACTTGTGAACACAGTTAAAAACAAGAATTTAATTTTGAAAAAAAAAAAGGTTGCATATTTTGAGTCAACTCAGGTTGGGCTGCAACCCCCCTGTGCCTGGCAAACTTGCACCATACCTTTGTACTCTTGCTCTGTCCCGAGATGAAGGCCATGGTCGGGTCCTCTTCCCTGCCCCAGAGCGATTCTTGGTGCATGGCGGGGTGCAGCTTGCGCACATGAGCCACCAGGTCCGCACGCGTGGGGTGAAGGGAGTCGCATGTGCCGCACTTGAACAAGGACCGTCCGCATTTGTCCAGGTGGCTTATCGTGTGGTTGGTAAGCTGCTCGGCCGATGCAAAGACGGCTTCGCATAGGGGGCACTTGAGGATCACCCAGCACTGGCTGCGCATCTTGGGGTGCATTGTCAGCCGGTGCGTGTGGAATCCCTCTAAATTTATGAAGGCCATCGGACACATCTGGCACTTGTGCAAGGCACTGCTGTGCGTGTCCACTATGTGGCTGGCAAGTTCAGCTGTAAAATGAAGCAAAATGAACAAGTAGTTTAATTAAGCTCGAACTTTTTAGACGCAACCTATGAGGAGATTACACTACATTACTGCAAGGCACTCGATATTCCATATGATGGCGAGTTGGTGATACAAAATTGTTTGAAATGAGAGCGCACTATGTAGACGCAGACAGAAGTGCTTGTCCCCGTCTATTCCGTCCGCGTCTACGTAGTGCACTCTCATTTCCAACTCGTTATTCTATCACAACAAAAATATTGTCATATTACATAAACTCATGAGTTTTATACAAAATATTATCTCAAAATATACAAAATTATATTAAAAAGGAGGATGACCTTAATTTTAGGTCTCGCGGTCCCACGCCGCCGATTCCCCAGAAGGTTGGTGCCCTTCCAAGCTACTACGTATGAAAGTCATTCTGCCGAGAACTAGGCCAGAAGTTCGCTTGTGCCTATTTAACCAGCAAGTACCTGGCAGTATATATAAACAACCTGGATGAAATCTACAGGGGATCAACTGCTACCATAGTGCTTCATAAAGAAAGCAACAGAATACCAATCAAGAAGGGTGTAGGGGGACACAATGTCGCCAATGCTATTTACCGCGTGCTTACAGGAGGTTTTCAGAAGCCTAGAATGGGAACAGTTAGGGATAAGAGTTAATGGAGAGTACCTTAGTAGCCTGCGCTTCGCCGATGACATTGCATTGCCGAATAACTCGGGGGACGAATTGCAACTCATGATTACGGAGTTAGACAAGGAGAGCAGAAAGGTGGGTCTTAAAATTAATCTGCAGAAAACGAAAGTTATGTACAACAACCTCGGAAGAGAGCAGTGCTTCAAGATAGGTAATAGTGCACTTCAAGTTGTAAAAGACTATGTCTACTTAGGGGAGGTAATAACCGCGGAGCCGAACCACGAGATTCAAATAACTAGAAGAATAAGAAGTGGGTGGAGCACATTTTGCAAGCACTCTCAAATTATGACAGGTAGATTGCCACTATCCCTCAAGAGGAAGGTATATAACAGCTGTATCTCACCAGTACTTAGCTACGAAGCAGAAACCTGGAGACTTGCAAAGAGGGTTCAGCTTACTAAATTGAGGACGATGCAGCGAGCAATGGAAAGAAAAATGATAGGTTTAATTTTGAGAGACAAGAAGAAAGCAGAGTGGATTAGGGAAAAAACGGGGGTTAAGGATATCATAGTTGAAAACAAGAAGAAGAAATGGACAAGGGCCGGGCATGTAGCGTGTAGACAGGATAACTGCTGGTCATTAAGGGTAACTAACCGGATTCCCAGAGAAGGCAAGCGGGTTAAAGGGAGACAGAAAATTAGGTGGGCAGATGAGATTAAGAAGTTTGCGGGTATAAATTGGCAGCAGCAAGCACAGGACCGGGTTAACTGGCGGAACATGGGAGAGGCCTTTGTCCTGCTGTGGACGCAGCCAGGCTGATGATGATGATCATGATGACCTGGCAGCAGCAACTCTCTGCCCCTCACAGCAGAGGCAGATGCTCAACCATTTCACCAAGGATGTGGTGGATTAAGCTATGCCCAGGGGCCTTCCCAGAGCATTATGGTGCTACCTTTCGAGATGAGCACCCAGAAACAACAAAGTGCCAGGTCGGTGTACTCCTCAACCCATTGGGGAAATTCTTAGTCGGCACTGGGAATCGAACCCAGTAAGTACCTTCCGCATTGGAAGCAAACGTTCTGACCATGTAGTCAGCCCTGTGGTCAAAAGAGGATGACCTTAATTTTTGGTCTGGCAGTCCCATGCCGCCAATTTCCCACGGGATGGGTGCTCAAGGGGGGGGGGGGGGCTGCTGACATGCTTTGTTTTTCAATTATACATTCCTCGTAACAATACAATGCCTGGATTAAATGAAGGTTTTGCATGGTCCCCTCAAAGTCATGTGATTGGCGTTCCACTGTAACTGCTTCTTTAGAGCTGTTAGCATTTACCAATGGCACCGCTCCCTTCTTTAAATCACGTGGTTGTTCAAGGACCATTTATCTTACAAGTCATCCATTCAACCAACGCATAGTGGCAACCAGAGTTTGACATGCCATACTACAGCTTCACTTACAATGCGTTGTGTGCATGCAATGCCACAATTAAAAAATGTGGCTACAGCAAACAAGCTTGCCATAACTTTGATAGCTATCATGCTTTCACATGCTTTAAAGCAAAGCACTTGTTTTAGTGCTGTGCTGTGTTACGTGTTTCAGTGCTGTGCTTTTATCAGACTGGGTGGAGAACAGAATTTCAGTTCAGTGAGTTACATCGTTTGGTGCTGTACCACTCTGGGTAGCACCTCACTGAGGTTTTCTTGGCAAGCCGTGGCAACACAACTGCTAAGGCCGTATCTAGGGCCTGTGTTTATTTGAGCAGTCCGTGTGTCGTACAGCCACTAGAAGGATGACTTCGTTGGCACAGCATCGGACTATAAATGTGGCTATCGAATGATGTTCACGAAAATTTATTTCTTTTTATCATTTGTTTAGTGTTTTATTCCATCTAATTGTTGCATTTTTGTGCCTACATATATTTTGTGATCCTCCTGTGTGAAAAAAGAATGTCTGCAATGATACATTGTTGGGTGGGTTTTAGCATGAAAGATGTTTCAATATACAGTTAGACCCCTTTATAAGAGGCATGCTCTGAGCAGCAATTCTGCAAACAAGAATTCGGGGGGAAAAGTACGCGAGGGAGATAAGTGCATATCGGCACATCGTGACGAGCTGGGCACGAGTGCTGGTGGCTTTTTTTTTTTCTTCCTTGAGTTTTCATATATATAGATAGGTATACATATATGATGAATGGCGGCAGCGGCGACGACAATAAACCAGCCGGGATTGTCCATATAATTGCTATTGCAATAAAATTCGCTGCCGCGGACAGCAACGTCGATACATACAGTCCAGGTTGTAGAAACGAACCGCCATTCAGGATTACCGATGTTGCTTCGGGTTTTGCTTTCCCGTGGCAGTTTTTATGTTTTGTTGAAAAAAACCACATGTGTAGTGCTCGAAAAACACTCTCGCTGCAGCCAGGTTCCCCAATAGAAGATGACAGACTATTTTTTTAGAGAACTGTCAGTTTTGAAGCAATAAATGTGCAGTTTTTTTGTGCATTTTGCTTAGTTGGAAGTTAGTTTAATTCGAAGTTTTTGTGGTTTCTGTAAACTTTGTATTAACGGGAGTCGACTGTAACAGAGAGAATTGCCAATTCTACTGAATTCATTACACTGATGCTTAAGTGTATATACTAGTAATGCTTCAACAGTCCAAACTTGCAAATATATACATTCGCACATAATACTAGTGTCACGCAGGAACGCCCTACCACAATGTAGACATTAGCTCTGTTTTGCAAACTTGCACAAATGAGTCATTTATGACCAGTAACTTCTACAGGGGTGGAACAGGGTGCATGGCTTTGGGAACAGTCCTAGGAGCAGCCAGACAGATGTTTTGGAGCAGGCTTGGTGCAGCCAGAAAGACATTTTGGAGCAGGCTTGGAGCTGCCAAAAGAGCCCTTTCGAGCAAGTCTAGAGCAGTAAGAATATTCGTTCAAATAACTTGTGAAGCAGCACTCTGCTAAATTGTGCAATAGCCTTGATTGCAATAGAAATTATATGGACACTCCCAACAGGTTATTGCTGTTGCCGTCATGTCCCGTACAAATTACAAATTGATAACATCCTCGGCGCATTGTATGGTCTATCCGCGTGTAAAAGCGCCCGAACGGGGGCAATGAACGCGGTTGAAGCAGAGATAAAACGATTTGGCCCATCTCTGCCGCTCGGCGTGTGGTAACACCCAATACCCCCCCCTTAGAAGGCCTGCAGTCTAAACAGAGACAAAGCACTGCGCCCACCTTGAGAGAGCATGAAAAAAAACTAAGGGGTAGGGGGCAGATGTCACTCGAGCAAGAGCTTTGCCTTTAAGGTGTGGCTGCGATTGCTGGCGCAGCTCGGCAGCCATCAGCGGGCAGCTCACGCACAGTTCTACGTGCTGCACTGTCACTGTGAGGAGACTGCGCGAAAAGTTCTGCTCTCCTTAAAGTGGCCGTACTGTCCCACACCAGCGTTTTGTAAGAAGAATTAGCTGCCAGCCTCACTTCGTAAATGTTACAATTTGTTGCTGTTGCATTCATTGCTTCCCCCTTGCGGTGCTACTGTGACTTTATTTAGTTTTGACAGGCCGACCCCACTCCCCTTTTTTTTTAACTTGAACGTGCAAGCGTCAACCACGAAGTCGATAAGCACGAAGCACGACGGCCAAATGAACGAGAATATGGGCAAGCGCTCGATGAGCAGTCATGTGCGCCTATAACTAGGCACCACCCCCTTCCTTTGAGCACCATTACTGCCATCCTTTATTTCTTTTCTGGACGCTGCCTACATGTTAGAAAAAACAGTTTCACTAGAATGGAATAGCAATGAATGCGATAGCAACCAATTGTAAAACTGGCAGCTCTTTTCGATCCATTGTCGTGTATCTGTACAAAACTCTGCTGCAAAAGAATATAGCTCTGCCAGAGAACGATGTTCTCGCAGTGTTTTTGCGTTATGAGCGCGGCATGTAAAAGCATTCACGAGCTATTCGCGCTGATGCCTGCCGGTATCGCACTCGCATAGTGATCACAACCACGCTTTTAGGATAAAAATTGACGGCTGCTCCTGGAGTAATCACAGTTTTACGAAACCGAAACTATAACAGTTTCGATGAAAACAACAAGACAATGTTTCAGCAACGTTTTCGGGCACTGTGCTTAGTTGGAAGTTAGTTTAATTCGAAGTTTTTGTGGTTTCTGTAAACTTTGTATTAACGGGAGTCGACTGTAACAGAGAGAATTGCCAATTCTACTGAATTCATTACACTGATGCTTAAGTGTATATACTAGTAATGCTTCAACAGTCCAAACTTGCAAATATATACATTCGCACATAATACTAGTACCACAATGTAGGAACATTAGCTCTGTTTTGCAAACTTGCCACCAAATGAGTCATTTATGACATTAATGTGTAACTTCCTACAGGTGTGGCACAGGGTGCATGGCTTTGGGAACAGTCCTAGGAGCAGCCAGACAGATGTTTTGGAGCAGCTTGGTGCAGCCAGAAAGACATTTTGGGGAGCAGTCTTGGAGCTGCCAAAAGAGCCCTTTCGAGCAAGTCTAGATGCATGTAAGACATATTCAGAGCAGATTTTGCCTCGTTCAATAACTTGTGAAGCAGCACTCTGCCTAAAGTGGTGCAATAGCCTTGATTGCAATAGAAATTATATGGACAATCCAACAGGTTATTGCTGTTGCCCGTTCATGTCCCCGTACAAATTACAAAATTGATAACATCCTCGGCGCATTGTATGGTCTATTCCGCGTTGTAAAAGCGCCCGAACGGGGGCAATGAACGTGGTTGAAGCAGAGATAAAACGATTTGGCCCATCTCTGCGGCTCGGAGGGCACGTGTGGTAACACCCAATACCCCCCCCCCCCCCCTTAGAAGGCCTGCAGTCTAAACAGAGACAAAGCACTGCGCCCACCTTGAGAGAGCATGAAAAAAAACTAAGGGGTAGGGGGCAGATGTCACTCGAGCAAGAGCTTTGCCTCTAAGGTGTGGCTGCGATTGCTGGCGCAGCTCGGCAGCCATCAGCGGGCAGCTCACGCACAGTTCTACGTGCTGCACTGTCACTGTGAGGAGACTGCGCGAAAAGTTCTGCTCTCCTTAAAGTGGCCGTACTGTCCCACACCAGCGTTTTGTAAGAAGAATTAGCTGCCAGCCTCACTTCGTAAATGTTACAATTTGTTGCTGTTGCATTCATTGCTTCCCCCCTGCGGTGCTACTGTGACTTTTTTTAGTTTTGACAGGCCGACCCCACTCCCTTTTTTTTAAACTTGAACGTGCAAGCGTCAACCACGAAGTCGATAAGCACGAAGCACGACGGCCAAATGAACGAGAATATGGGCATGCGCTCGATGAGCAGTCATGTGCGCCTATAACTAGGCACCACCCCCTTCCTTTGAGCACCATTACTGCCATCCTTTATTTCTTTTCTGGACGCTGCCTACATGTTAGAAAAAACAGTTTCACTAGAATGGAATAGCAATGAATGCGATAGCAACCAATTGTAAAACTGGCAGCTCTTTTCGATCCATTGTCGTGTATCTGTACAAAACTCTGCTGCAAAAGAATATAGCTCTGCCAGAGAACGATGTTCTCGCAGTGTTTTTGCGTTATGAGCGCGGCATGTAAAAGCATTCACGAGCTATTCGCGCTGATGCCTGCCGGTATCGCACTCGCATAGTGATCACAACCACGCTTTTAGGATAAAAATTGACGGCTGCTCCTGGAGTAATCACAGTTTTACGAAACCGAAACTATAACAGTTTCGATGAAAACAACAAGACAATGTTTCAGCAACGTTTTCGGGCACTGTGCTTGATGGCTTTTGCACTTTGCGGCTAAATTTTGGTGTTGCGGTGCAATGCGGCACTGATCGGAGAGTTTGGCGCAGCTGGGGTCGTTCGGCAAAGGATAGCCGAGGTGAGCAAGTTTGGCGCACAATGGCGCAGCTGTTCCACACCTGCTTCTATCGTGACTGAGCTCAACTAGACCTGAAAGTGCTCATGCACGGATGGCATAAAGACCAGGCTGACCTTGATCAAGCAGCAGGGCAGGGCACAGCTGGCAGTGGTAGCCCACAATTCGCTCATAATGATGGCAATGATTGGTCACATGCCGGTGGAACATGTTCCATTCACCCTGTAGCACAACAAGAAAATGGTGTTGCACATAATGAACATCACATTACAAGCAATAAATTGGATGCCCTGTTCTGCAAAACATGACTAATCAGCTGTTTTTCAAAAAACTAAAGTAGAGAGAATACTTCAATGTCTTGAAACTTTGAAACTTGTTGAGAAAAAGGGGTAGAAGTATTAGCCATTCTGAGTAGGCTTGTGAAAATATTTGAATGCTTTAAATATTCGAATGATTAATACAGTACTTGAATTTGCTTTGAATCGAATTTATATTATGAAAAATTTCGAAGTATTCCGAATGAACGAACAGGTGTATGTTAGTCTGCAGGTAACCCCCAGTAAATCTAGTTTCACTGCAGTTCAGAGATGCTAAGCTATGAAAACACCTGTTTAAATGTATATTAGTCAGCATCTAATCCCCTCTAACGGGGGTTGCACACCAATGAAGAAGTGTTAAGCCATGAAAGTACTTGGGGCAAATACAAACTGCCGTGAAGCCCCTTTTCGAGGTTAAATGAAGGTACTACACTCACACTGATTCATTTTTTTAAGTTTGAAAGCTTGTTACACAGGCTTACATACTCTAAGTATGTCAAATTTTAAAGCATAACATAATTTACAAGCTGTCACTTGCATTCTACCCAAACTCAAATCCTGCTGCTATTCAAAATGATTTCTACTTCCCTTTAAGCAAAAAAATGGCATTTTTACAGGCCTTGTTCTCATTTAAAAATTCCGTATTTACTCGCATAATGAACGCACCCGCATAATAACGCACCCCCTGCATTCGTTCTCTGTCGTCCCGCTAACTGACACCTGGCGCTTCCATGCCCGTTGGATCTCTTTCGTTTTTTATGATTGTGCCGACCCCCTTCGGCCACCTCACCAGATATCACACCAGATACCACCGTTGCGGCTAAGCGATCGCGACAAAATAAATTAGTGAAATGCCTTTATGGTGTGCGCAGGATGCACAGGGACAGCGTGCAGAGGATAGGGGCTTCAACGACTGAAGATTAATGGAGTGCAGCAAAGAAGCTGTTTCCCAACAGTGTACGCGCATGTCGATTGTTAAAGGCTAAGTGACTTAACTTTTTTTTTTTCACATTACCGCATTTTTTGATCATTCTGAAAAAGTTTTCATAAAATTGGCCCTGTATAATAAATGCACCCCCAACTTTGCTGCAATTTTACGAGGAAAAAAGTGCGGTCTTTATGCGAGTAAATACTGTATTACAGCCAAACTCCTTTATATGTCACACTGATATAAGAGACATATGAATATATAAGGCACCAGTGTGCCTACTAAATGAGACGACAAGAAAATGCATATGATATAGACTGCTTATGAGAAACATCTCATATAAAAGACAAGAGCTGCTGCCCACAGCATGCCTATTATAAAAGGTTTTAACTGTATTGCGTCTGTTGGTTAGGTCATGACAAATACACACATCTTTCTTAATAATATGTGCTATATATATACTATTCGAATTCGATTCGAAATTATTTTACCAAAATCACTGTCCACTTCGAATTAGCTTCAAACCTAAAATTCACTATTCGCACAAGCCTAATGCTGAGTGCACCAGTGTGCTTCATGGGGTAGGCATCTTGAATTGACAGGCCTTCTATGATGAATTACCAAATTAGGTATCAACGAAAATCATTGCATCTGATTTAGAAGTGTCAATAACCCTCAGACTGCTACTTGGAAAATATCTCAGTGACCTGGACACCTCACACTGTGCCACTCTTGAATATACAAAAAAGCCTTTACAGACAAACATGCATATCAAACACACTTATACAATAAATTATCAAGTATTTCAAACAGTTGGTAAATCCCCTTGAATATATCTTCTATATATATATAAAAACTTTTCATACTTGAATGACCTATATGCAGAACTTTTTTAGGAACTCCTTAAGATTCAATATAGGTGGATTCAACAGTATAATCAAAATTAATAAATTTGAAATTTCACATAATCTGAAGAAATTCCATGGCACCGCATTTTTTTATGTAAATTTGTCAGCATAATTCAAAGCTGCCGTCTGCCCCAGCCCAGCATTATATTTAGAAGATTCTGGGTGCTTTGCAGCAATACCTTGTCTGATTTTTGCTGTTCGATACTTCTGCATATCATGTTTAGTGAAGAAGCATGGCAAACGTCCTAAGAAAAAAAGTACTTTAAAGGAATTTCAAGACCCCCCGCCCCTTTTTCTCCTCACCGAGTGATCACACGCTGCTCACCTCGCAACGCAGGCCGCACTCGGGACAGACGAAGGGGCGTCGCTGGTTATGTAGCCTTCGGTGTGCACGCAGAGCACACTCTGAAGTGCACAGCATTGGGCAGCTTGCGCAGCGGATGAGGTTGCCTCGTGACGGGTGAAAGTGGGCCTCTCGGGAGGACTCGTCCTCAAGGTTCGTATAGCATTCGGAGCAGATCACGCTCTGAAGGACCTGTACCCCAAGAAACAAAAAAGGGAACAAATCCTAATGAGGTTACATGCCAAGAACAAAAAAGAAGAAAGACGTAGTTAACAAAAGGCAACTGCCAGGGCACACCGGAACACTGAAATGGACAACACAAAATGCTTCGTGTCGTCTCTTTCTGTGTCCGGCATGCCCTTACCTTCGCTAATAGTGAATCCCTGACTCGCTTACACCCACACTCTTCTATGAAGGATGTGCGTGAAAACAGAGTGCTCAATTCTTGTACCTCTGTTCTTCGTGCAAATTAAATTCTTCAATCAGACCACAGACAGATCAACAGTTCATTCAAGAACAATAGAGCCACCATTGAAGAGAGAAAGTTTTCTAAATAGCGAGCATTACATTTAAAGGGGCCCGCAACACAATTTGAGCATGTCTTTCTCATGAATTCGTCTGGTTCTATGGAATGCGCCGATATAGTTGCGCAAGCGGGAAGGCCGCAATCAAAGCTGTAACAATTTTAATTCACAGGACAAACTACCTTGTTTTCAAACTATGGCAACACGCATCAACTAATTTTGTCATCGGAAGTGACGTCATGCCTTGCGACGAGAGGCCACTCTTTTTTTTTAATTTGCCTAACGTGGCAAGTAGAGTGCAATATTCATAAGGGAGTAGCTAGGCCATACGAGCGAATGCTAAAAACAGTAAAAACCCTTTTTATACCTTCTCAGAAAGAAATAATTTGTTTCTAAATGATGTATATTTTAGAACGATGAACACGAAATTTAGTCTGCGAATGCAGCTGAAGTACGCCAGCAAGTGAAAACAATTGCTGCATTTTTAGTGAGCCAAAAATGTGACATGCAGCGGACATAGGCGTTGCCGTAGAACTTGTCTTGCATGCAAGCCTAGAAATGTCCCCACCTAACTATTACCGTATTTACTAGATTCTACCGCGCTCTCGAATGTAACGCGCACCCGATTTCCACCGCGAAAAAAAAAAAAAACCGTAAAACATCGATTGCAACGCGCACCCATTTTTCTCGCTGGCCCGCATGATCACACCACTCGAAAAAACGACTCCTTTCGCAAGCGTCTTCCATTTAAATTTGAGGCACGGGCGAAGCTTGTGCCCATCTGACGTGTAACAGAGCATTGCCGTCACTGTAGTTTTACCGTGGACCGATGTCAGCACGCGAACTTGCTTCGCCCCTTTCTTCTCGACGGTTGTGGTGCCAGGCATGTCGAAGTAAAGAGGCGTCTGATCGGCATTCCCGATTTGCCCAAGCAGGTAGCCGTTGTTGCGCCGAAAGTTTAGGACGAACCTCTGAAAACTTTGAAGCTTTTCATCGTACTCCTCCACAAAACTTTTCGCATATGCATGTGCCCCTTCGGAGGAAAAAGCCTTTCCTCTTCATAAAGTTGGTTAGCCAGCACCTGCTCACTTTAAACTGGCTCCGCATTAGACCTTTTTCTAAGACTAATTGCATAGCCCGCACTTGGAGCAGTTCTGTCGTCACGGGCCGCTGTGCCGCTCGCTGCTCAAGCACATACTCGCCGAGCAGCTCTTTAATTTGCAGAAACTGACCCTGCTGCCGTCCACTGAGGCCTTTGCGTGAAGCTTTGCTGTCGACAATCTTCTGCTTTTCTTTCCGCGGGTCCCGCACGCACGTTTCGGGAACTCCGAATGACCGCGATGCGGCCCGATTTCCGTCCGTTTCTGCACACGCGATGACTTTTCTTTTAAAAGCGGCATCGTGGTGCACTCGAGTTTTTGGAGTCGGCCCTTCCACGCCGTCGATGGTAATGCACTACTAGATGAAAAACTCCTCAGCACACGTACGAAGTGCTGCACATGGGAAACACATAGGCAGAAATGGCCGACGCGCCATGCCGACGCACGTAGGGGGCGGCCATTTTGGATTTGCCGATGGCAATAGATTGACCGTAATTTTTTTGTTCGAACACGATTCTAACGCGCATGCGATTTATGAACTCGCTTAACCGGAAAAAAGGTGCGCGTTAGATTCGAGTAATTACGGTATGTGTGATTTTACACAGTGGGACCATGAGAGCATCTGCTACCCGACGCATGTGGTTCTTCGTAACCATCTTAACAATGCCGTCAAAAAGAACCGTAATGAGGTGCTGTGGGGAGGCCACTATGAGGTGACATTTCCACTATGTCTTTATTAGACGTGCACGGTGATTGAAAGCAATCTTTGACATCAGCAGGGGAGTTAAATGTGAAAGGAAACGTTTCTCGTTGTCGTCTGCTCGAGTTTTAAACTTTGAGGACTCACAACACTTCACTTTTTGCGCAGCGATTTGCATTATTCTTGTAGCATTCATCTCATCAATCATTAATGCAAGCGTTCCGATGCTAAATAAGGCAGCTGCAAAAGTGCTGCAGGGCCCCTTTAAATAGCGAGCTAATAAAATTTATGGTGCATCAAGAATGTGAATAGCGGTATCTCTGATATGAAACGAGTGCACTTGAAACAGGGCTGCAGTGAAAAAACTGCCTAACATGCCAGAAACACCACTCGGACAAATAATTATTCTCATAGCTTGAAGGTGTGACAGAGTGATTACCAGTTTAGCTTAAGTCTACAAATTTTCTCACATTATGACTGCACACAATTTATGTAAACAGAAAATAAGTTTTCCTAAAAATTAAACTGAAAGATTTTTTTGTGAAGCGAAATCGTAAGTGTATATGTTTGCTTGCCTTTATGTATATGCGCACAGGCATGCATTTTTTCTCCCACATTATACAGAAGTTCATCATCACAACGCATTTATACAGCACTGCACTTACCTTTTCAAGGACAGTCATTGGCACATCAGGCTGAGAGCTTGTGTTTTCAGACTCATCGGGAAGTTCCACGGGAACCAATGTTTCTTTAGGTGGCAGTGCTGACAGGGTGGCATTAGAGGCAGCAATACGACAACCCTGGTAAAAAAAAAAAGAAATTGGAAGATGCATAAGCTTTGCATTCAAGAGTGAAAATGCAATAGTATTTCAGGCCACGTTTGCATCTCCTTCACATTTGTTGGCCATGCCTATGTATTGACACGAACACCTATGTGTATTGACGTCTATGAGGCAGATTCGGAACTCCGGACTTGAAAGGAGCACACCCCCGTTCACCACATCGGCTGGGCTTCCACCGAACTTGAAAGAGGAGGAGAGGCTGAGGAAATCGCATCGTTGCCTTTCACAGTAGCGTTTTATTGGCAGCACTTTGGCAGCAGCAAATAGTGTACGTAAATACGATTCTGCCTCTGCATTGCCTCATTCTTGATAAGAGAACTATGAAACACAACCCCGCCAGCACTTCATCAGCCTAGTCAAAAGAATCACTTTCCCATTGCTAGCTCGTAACAGTATGCTTAAGAATCCTCCCCAACTTTTTCTTGTCTGCAATTTCATTTTAAAGTATGGAATAAATATTTCCGAAATATTTAGAAGATAGTCACAAAATATTTTATTTGCTATCACACCTCAATATTCAAATTCGCTTTGCACCCAGGATTTTCCTATTTGCAGAGCTCTACTTGATATAATAGCTAATAGCCAATAAATAGACAAATAATGTGCCTTAGCACACATGAATAAGCATATTAACGATAAAAAGTACAGCTTCACAACTTCCCACTAAGTGTCCATGGTCAAAACATTAATGCTGTTAATGGAGTAACAAGGCTATCATGCTTGGTAAATACTTACTATCAAGAAAGATTGGACAACAAAAAGAAGACAAAATGCGAACAGTGGCTTTTGATTCCTGAAGTGTTCGCAAGAGGTCTCGACATTTCTCTAGTTCGTTGATAATATGCAACGAAAGCTTTTACATTTAACTTTTCCTTGTTTTCAAACATGCATATCCAATATTCTTGGGCTGACGCCAAGCAAACCTTCAACCGAAAGAGCAAATTCATAGCCCTAAACATGAGAAGCATGCTGGAAAAGACATCCATGTATTCTGCAGAATCTCAATCACCTTAACTGAAAGCGGCAGTAACTTCAAGTATGTCAGTCCAAAGAGAATGAAGATTACCCGACTACATGCATAGAACATTCCCGACTCTTTAAGGCGGAGCTGATGTGTTTGTTAGCCCCTTTTGCCTGGATAGCAGGAACCTCTAAATAAATGTGGATGAGGCTGCCTTGTTAACTTTGTTGCCTTGTTAACCCACAGTTTCAAATTAACAAGGAGCAGGATGAAGAATATTTCAGTGTCTACAACACAAAAATATTGTGCATGTTTACAATAGTATCACTACCAGTCTCCTTCACAAACAATATGATGCCAGTCACACCTTTGTACCTAACATGTGCTAATTGTCAATCAATATAGCATTGCTGCTAGACAAAGTTTGCCATAGCTTACCATTTATGTTATGATCAACTAAACTATAAACAATCACAATGATTAGGCATATTAATAACGTTTCCAGGGGCAGCTTAAGCTCCAGTGCTTGCCAGCTGCTTTTAGACTTGCTGGTGCGCAAAAGCGACGTCTCGACGCTTCCAGCATTGGCTCTTTATTCCATGCAAACAAACAACGCAACTAATTAGAAAGAAAATCTGCCATATTTTTCACATTACTAGTTCAGCACAACTTGATATAACCGCCATTAAATGTTACAACAATCTTGTGGCAACAAGAACGAGTAATGTCAAAAAGAGAAATTTGACCATGACGATTGAACAGATTTTTTTTCTACTGGCGAATCATCTGCGAAAAGGAACTAGCAAGTTGAAGGCTTGGCGATGCAGTAGCACTTTACCATAGAGGGTCTTTTAGGCATGTCACTTCTGTAGTACTGCTATGTCAATGAAAAAACATGTGAAAATGGAACAGAGAGGAAGAAGCATGCAACAAGTGCTGACTATGTAACGTGCACCAAGTGGCCTTTCAAGATACCCTTCAGCAATTCGGCATTGCAATTCATTGTGGTAACTAGTTACCATGTAGCAGAAATAGTGGAACACAAGTCCTAATGGAGCGAAAATAATGAAAACTGAAATACTGCATTTAGTAGCAAGAATTACTAACAGTCACTACTAGAAACGAAAACCTACCTTGCTCTTTCCAGTAATTTGTATGAACATCAAGCTTAGAGACAATGCTTACAACACACCTGTGCTCGCATTATGAGAGTGCAGCGGTTGAATGCCAGATGGCAGGAACTACATTTGCGGCACGGCAGCCGTGCCAGGAATGAACGACGAGACAGGTGACGTCGAAGGCTACGCGAGGTTGAGTAGGAGTCTGCACAGATGGGGCAATCAAAGCTGTTGCCTCCGCTCCCGTCGCCCGAAGTGGCAGGTCCATTCTCTTCACGCTTTGCGGCAACGTATCTTGGGTGCGGATCTGTCGACCATTCGCGAAGAAAGTCGTCCAGTGTGACATGAACACCGCTGTCCAGAGATCCATCTCCTTCAACCACAGAAGCCAGATGCACAGTCCTCTGAAATTAGATCAAACGGTAGCTTGCAAAAGCACAAAAAAGGAAAATCGTAGTTGGTATCACCATAGATGTGTTAATTAGTACTAGAAGCTAATCAAATTTCAAATAATCTGAAAAAAAAAATTTAACAAAGGAGCTGTTCAGCATTTCTAAGTAGTCTTCATATATCGAGTTCAAGTGATTTACTCATAAAGAAAAGTTTGCATCTATCATAAGGTTACACAAGTATTAGACACACAGATTTTGCTGAACAGATCATGCCTTGGTGCTTTCTCATGTCTGTGCATTTGTTACAGCATGTAATAATGATGACCAATTGACTAAAACATACATTGGCCCAAATGAGCACGAACATCTAAAGCGAATTGAGATTGATTGGCTAGAAAGCCATTAGAACACAAGGTAGCAAAAAACGATGCATACATAACAACTAGCAACTGTGATATTCTTATACCGAGTGCACAGTACTGGTGAAGCAACGAAAGCAAGGGGGCACATTATGCTTTCCACAAAGTTTTGTGACAAGCACAGTGTCATTACAATTATTGTGATATCACTTTTTCCCTGGTTGTGCACTGTATTTTAGTGATCTCACAACCTGTACGATTGTTTCACGTGTACAAATGCAATGAAAGCTGTTGTACTTCATTTTTACTGCCCAACTAGACAGAACGTTCGAGTTGCTGCTTCCACACTATTAGAACAAGCTACAGAGTTTTGTGAAATTCTTTGATGAAGGTGACACGCCGAAAATCGGCTTCAGTAAATCTTTAGTCAGATACAGTTGAAGAAGTCCGGAGAGGCCCTGCCCAAATGACTGATGCACAGCAGCCGATTGCCTCTATATCTGAAGAAACAGTCTCTCTCATGCTCTGGGCTTTGTTCTCTAAAGATGCGATCACCAGCTGTTCGGCTCATTATGTCAGTCAAGAAGGCAGCGCCCATTAGTGCAGGCTGTTTTTGAGCAAGAAACGCTGACTTCTGAAGTATTCCAAGGACAATTAAAGTATCTGACTATGGTTACCAAAGTTACCAAAACAAGGTCAGAGATCCAGACCTTGTTCAAACCAGAAGTGTCCTTGGCTAGGCTTCCACCAATTTCCTGCAAGAAGAGTGACTTACGTTACTGCTGGCACACATTCAAACTGCTTGGGAGAATTGAAATCTCAAAGGTGAGCCAAAATACCAAAGCTGCAAACCAACTACTGTGCTGTTCACATAATGCAGGTTCGTTAAGTGCTCTTTTACTTTGATTGTTCACTCATCTCTTGCTTCACAAACTCGCCGATACATTTCTCTTCGTCATCTCTTTTCCACTTCTAAAGAACGGCAGGAAGCTTAAGATAAAATTCGTAAACAGAGTGTGCGTGCTAGAGTCGACATTTTCACAAGTGCATTAGCCGTCTTTAAGGCTGGAACTGTTCCAGCCTTGAAAAAGACATGTTTACTTATCGAAACATCTACACGAGCACGCAGCCGATGTTATCAAACGTTTTCATTTTTTCAACTTCTATGTTATGGTCATTTTACGGTCAAGATTGAAATTGCCGATCAAGATGCGCATTAGATAGCATAAATGATTGTGCGCACGTAAGTCGACCTTGTGCGACTTTATGCAGCAAGTTCTACCGCGAATGCCCAGAAAATTCTAATGCTTTTTTACATTTGCTTACACGGGTTTTATATTCTAACAGCGCTGAGCATTTAATTTCTACAACAATATTAGAATGTTCCTTTTCGACAACATGCAACGGTATCCGTAGGAAACTGAACAGCGGCAAATCGCCACATGAACCAATCGTACAGGTTTAAAACGGTAATTTTGCCGACCATAAGGAAGTTTGTCGCGGTGGCAACTTTAGGATGTTACTGCCCTAGCTATTCCACTGCCCTAAAGTGCACATTGTGATCATGCATTAGATATTTAACTAAACGGTTCCAATTAAGAACTATAGCACGAGTAGAAATGCAACGCAACAGGTACTTTATTTTGAACTAACCTTGCACGAGGGATTATTCAATCGGGCGTTCGATCTTGGCACAGATATCACTTTGACGACGTTGCTATTCTTTATGACGGCAACGGGAACTGAGCTCTGTTTTTCCATAGCGATTGCTGTTACTGTCGGCTCTATCCGAAATCTTTTACCAAGGTGTACGCTACGGTTGATCACCGAATTCAGTTGCAACAGCTGGTACGTCGACAGTGGTGTCAAAGAATCGAGTAGGATCGGATGAGCAACAGCATGGTTTCCTTTTGCTGCAGAGTGTTCGAGTAAGGTTGTAGTTCACTATAAGCGAGATGCAGTCAAGGCGCGAAACAGCGGCGTGTACATGGACTGATCGCGGAATTCGTCATGCCGTAATGCATGCGATCCGGAGTAAGGGGAAAGAAGCACCAAATGACAGCCGGCTACTACTGCTGTGCGTGAAAACGCGGCAAAACTTCGCGCACTTAACGACATGACCACTTCTGACCGCGCGTGCTGCCATGCGCGTTCCGCTACTGCGAGAGCCTTGCAAGTGGTCTCGATACTTCGTCTCCTCCATAACGAGCCAGATGGCGCAACTAGTCGGTCGAATGAGAATGAACGTTAGCGAATATATGGGTATAACTTACAGAAAAAAAAGTAGGTCGGAACGACGAATAGTTTTGAACTTGATTACTGAAGTTACACGTCGGTGCGGCGTTGTCTTTTTAAAATTGCGTCAAGCCACTACCTAGAACACTGCCGATCGAGACAAGCGCAGTTGCGCTGTCGCAAGTATTAATTGTATTTTTTGTATTTTCCTCCTTTCCTGTTCTCTGCGCACATGCGCACTCAGGCCTCGGTTCAGCCTTTGCCATTTGTCGGCCTCGCCACGCCACTCAACTTTGCTCACCACTTACCGTTGTTGCCGTGGTCTTGGCAGTGCCAACTCGTTCTCTTACGTTAGTACCACTAGGCTACCTGTTTCCAGAGAACACTAATGCTAGACCGGCCAACCACGCCGTAATCGCAGGTGCGGTTAACGCAAGAAAATCCCTGTGTTCCGTGTACTTTCGTACCGCTAAAGGCCATGAAATAAAGGAAGTCACCGAAAAAAATGAGCGAACCTGTCCTTCCATTGTAGTTCCAGCGGCGTCTTCTCTAGTAACTGCCTTGGCGGACGGTAAGGAAATCTTCGTTCCTCCAGCGCCCAGACGGCTCGCTTCAGGAAGCTGTAAATGCAGACCAAACCACGTTACCGTATAGTGACGCTGTACTTACAACCAGGCGTCATTCACCTTTCGCTGCGATTGTTCAGTCAGGTTTGGTATTGAGTTTTGCTTCGTCTTGAGGCGCCTGCATTATCGAGGCAACAAAAGTCAGGGGAGTAGCGATACGTGCAGGAGAATCGAGATGCGCAATTACCTGTTGTACTTCTCTGCGGTCTTTGCGCTCACGACAGGGAAGATGGTGGGGATGTAGTTCAGTTCCCTCGGATCTTCTCCCTTAACATTACCAACGAAGTGCTTCGAGCAGACCCTTGAGTTCTTCGAGGGCGACCAGACTCCGTTCACGTCGTTTCTGCACAAATGGTGACGAGCCATTAGATGCTGCCTCGCTTGCTGGCGACGCTCGTTATGTGAGAGTGTAGGCTGTGACTGCATGCAAACGAAAACGCTCACCTGGCTAGTCTAATGTTGTCGATCCACTTGTTCTTACGTTCAGCATCGTAATGCTTCGCGGGAAATGCGTAGAAGCGCACTTTTTCTCCGGAATCATCGGTGCTTTCGTAAGAGGCCGAGCATCCAAGTACGCAGCACCGTATGCGACTCGCCCATGACATCGGCAAACGCTCGGCAGAATAGAACCGCCTGTAGCTAACGTGCCACGCTATCACGCGCTTGCTCACATCACCACGGCTGCATACAAGTGATGTCCTACGGAAAGTACCCACCCATGCCGCTAGACTGCGCCATCGTCGCCTTCCTGCGTGCACGCTTTTCTTTATTCATTTGTGCCACTGGGCTGCAGAAGTCCCGTGAGTGCTCTCCGCGTTGACGATGGTGACTCGTTAGCAGCGTTATAGCACGTTTTCGTGTGGCGTCCCAATTTCGTGTTGACAGTGTACGTCACCTTGTGCGGTGTTCAAGGATGACTGTTTTCTTGTCCTTTTGCGGTTGACTCCACGCAGGTTATGGACACAGCCAGTGGTAACACAGCCATGCCCGAGCTTACAGAGGAGCAAAAGAAGGCGATAGCTGAAAAACGCGATCGTGCCATTCAGATAAGAAAGGCCAAGTTGGCATTGAGAAGTATTACTGAAAGGTGAGACCCTTTTCTTATTTGTGATTTATCAAACAGGCTTATTGCATATGTCATATAAATGGGGGAAACAACATCATGCTGTGTATGTGGTGCAACTATTTTGATAAGTTATTGGGCTTTGATTGGGGGGACATTTTTATGAATAGCAATAACAAATGATGAAGTAAGGTTTCTAATGTGAGAACTAGTGCTACAGTCACCTCAGTGGCAGTTTTCCCTCTGCTTTACTGGTTACCTAAAGCAACAACAGCTGGAAGGGATTCTGCTCGTGAGTAAAGAGAATGCATACATTGCCCTGTCAAAGTCCAACAAGTAGGCTTATGCTTCTACACCCGCTGGTTGATTTGTCTCTTGTATGCCATTGGATATGTATCACGAGGTGAGCGAGCTTTCTTGTGTCTTTTCATTTATCCTCTGCCATGTGACATTGAGCTATATTTAACTGTTAATGCCAAGCTTTGTTCTTTGTCATCTGGACATGAGCTTGTGGATGTGGTGCATATCTTCCAGCACCATGAGATACCAAGCCATAAATTGGTTCAACTCTTTTTTTCTGGTTCTCAGGAACCTTATACAGACTTGAAAGGTATCGAAAAATGCTCATGATCCGATTTTTGGTATTCACAAATAGTCTGAGGCATTCTACCTTCGCTTGTTTTGCAATCTAGGTTTGGCCATTGCTAGTTAAAGTTCATAATCTGTTAAATTTGTTTTCTCTTCTGTCCAGAACATCACCATTATTTATGCACCCTTGTGACAGTGTTCTGTACTGTCCTTGCAGTACCGGTGGTTCCCCAACGAAGCAGCAACGAGTTGTTGACACAGGTGGTGGCTTTCTACTCGATGATGGTACTCCAAGCTCACAAACGGTGCCAACACCGACAACAGTGGAGATGCCTGCAGAGCACTCTACATGTGATTCCTGTGGCAAGGAGTTCCTGATGTCATTCCTCTTGGAGAAGTTTGCCTTGGAAATATGCGATAAGTGCAGGTGATAGTCTGTTTTTTATAGTTGTGTTGCCTAACACAGTGAACCAGACAGACCTTATGTGTAAACGCTGTTTAGAGCTTTATAAAGCTGCATGAATATCACAAACCAGGCAAATTTGTCTTCAGGAAATCTGTCTAGTGCTTGCAAATTTGCCTTTGACCATTTGCAATCTTTCGAGAGGCTGAACAAGCAATAGAAAATAGTGTTCCCACCATATCACTGTCTTGCAATGGAAGACAAAGTTCCGTGGGTTCTCTTGCACATCATGCTTACAAGCACAAGGTTTGCAATGATATATTGATAGCTTTCATGCAGTGCTATTAGTGAAAACATTATAGACGAATGGGTGACAAGAAGCAGGTTTATCATTTTGCAGTGCCTTAATTTGATCTTGTACCATGAAGCATTATAGCGACTCAACATCTCATTAATGCACTTGGGATAACTAAATCTTTGCTGGCATTTAGCTTCATGAAGTGTCAGCTTTATGATGTCTGCGTTTTCTAAGATGAACAAGCGTTACAAATGTAGCACACTGGCTAGACTAATGGTAGGTGATCTGTTTATATATGGGGTTTTAAAGGCACGATGAATGTTTACTCCTGATGGTTAGTATTGTAAAGGGAACAGAGGCTAGATAAAATATGATGTGCATGTAATACCTGTATCAACTGCATCAGTCATGGCTATGTGTGATAATTGCATGTTAGCTCAAAATGAAATGTTTAGTATTGTTACAATAAAAGAATCAAAATCACAGGATTGGTTAATGAGAAAAGTTAAATTGCTCTTATAAACTGACTCATCATGCAAGTATCTTGCAGTGAACATATCCATTTCAAGCTTAAATCTTAAATCCAGCTTTAGCATTAGTATCAATTGAAAATTACCGGTACCAATTTTATAGGCTGTACTGCTTTTTCGATGAATTGCGGTGGTAGCTTAGAGTTAGAGTAAGAAGTGGTTTTATTTAAGCACTGAATTATGAGGTAAGATGTCACACTACTTAGCTCAAAAACATGGGGTTCAGTTCCCAGCCATAGTTGTCGGGCGAGCACACGGGTAGTGTGTGGTTGGGGCAGCTGCTCTACTTACCTAAAGAAGGAAAGGTGCGAAATTTGGCCCTTACATTGACGTAGTACGCACAAGGTGGCACTGGGATGAACTTTCATTTTCCTTATGGCGGGCCCTGCGCACGCTAATGACCACGGCAATCATATTTAAGTGGAGGCAAAAACACTTGTGTACCAATATGCTTGTACGTGTAAAAAAACTGAAATAGCCTGAGTTAGTCAGAGACCCCCCTCCCTCCTGTGTTATGGTGTCCAGCATAATAATATGATGCTTATAATCATGCAAAACCCTATAAATGATTACTCTGTCATTTACTCGGACTCTAGAACAGCTATAAGAACTTTTTCGGCGGCCCTAGTCTCTTCGAAGGCAGCTGCGGTCGTTAACAGGCTTTTCAACCACGAGACGAAGGAGGAAAACTTTCGGTCTACACACATCGCATGGTTCCCAGCCCACATGGGAAACATTTCCGGCTTTGCTGGCAACCCAAACGAGCGGGCACACACACTGGCGCGAGAGCTCACTTTCCGCGTCAGTGGTTCGCCCCCTCGCTTAAATGCAGCCTGCAGGAACCTCGATTACAAAGACCCACTTGTATCATATCACGAACTCACCTCACATCATAGATTAGAACGTCGAACTTTTCCTCCTCCTCACAGAGATCTGAACAGAGCACAAGCAATCACTTACAGACAATTGCAGACACGTACATACATCACACCAACGACACTAAGCAGGATTAATCCGGACTTTTCCACTGCATGTCCACACTGTGGAAACGAGTATAACAATTTCGACCACATGCTCTGGTTGTGCCCTGCCAACGTGGGTACAGAATTTTCTGACCAGTCCTCCTGGGACTCCGCCCTTCGAAGCACAGAGCTCATCGCCCAGCTCAAGGCTGTCCAGAGGGCCCGGGCCGTCGCCGAGAGACTCTGTCTACCGGTCCCGACCTGGGTGGAGCCGCCGGATTGATGGCGGGGCTTTCGGCACCGCTTTCTTTCCTCTCAGGACCTTAATAAAGTTCATACTCACTCACTCACTCACTTTGGCTATTTGACTGGCTATGTCATTGGCTCTCTTTACATATTCATTATTTGTGTATACATATATATGTAACATATGCGCACTGTCAGCATACACATATGCCATTACCTTAATTGTGTAAAGTGTACATAACAATATACATTAAACATAGACACATTTGATGTTAAATCCAACATTCACAAGTATAACTAACTTGGGAGTACAGTTTTTTCAAATCTCTCATAACTATTGTAACACCTTGATGTAAACTCAGTTTATGTATTCAGTTTGTGTGCCTGAGATGTTCAAGCGGATTCTGTGCAGAGCTGCGATGTCAGTTTCGCATTCAGGTTTGCAAATTGTAAGTTTTATCCAAAGAAGGTTTTATAAGTTACCGATTCCTGGAAATGTTTCTATGAGAAATACCATCCCCAAAGTCAATATTCTGCTTCCTACATGCTCGATAATTCAACTTTCTCTGTAACTAACTAATAAATTTAATCAAATCAATCTAGTGATTGCTTCATAAATGCTTTCTGTGGGTAGTATGTACTTAAATGGGAAAAATGGAGTTGGGCTCCAGCTAAACTTTCCGCTTAATTGTATACTAAATGGAAACAGTAAGTCAGTATATGCTTATAGATTGTTATTCAAGAATATCAGTTATTAATATCCTGCCACTGCAGTAGGTTCGGTAATAAAGAGAAAAGGCCAAGGTTTCACTTCTGACTTTCGCACCAAAACATTAGCACATAAATGTCAGTGTCACGTCCTAGCTTTGACATTTTTTTCTACTTATTGCCCAATGAAAATTCGTGAGACTGTCTACCATAGTGTGTCTTCCCTCCTTAGAATGCAATGTAATTAATTTGTACCAATGAAAATATTATGTAGGTCTTCGCATATGCCCTTCAAATTCCCAACATCATGGCAACTATGGGCCCGAACTTTGATTCAGCTTCATCACGTGCATTTTCCATTTTGCTCGCCGATCATTTTCTTGCAGTTTACTGATTATCACTGCGGTTACACAGATTTACTATTACCTGCTGGTTTTTCATTCTAATGTCTAAGAGACAGCCTCAATGGCGGGTGTTGAAGGATACCACCAGCTCTATTGCAATGTCTTTGATAGCTGGGGATGGTGAGCTGACGACATCAGTTTGACATCAGAGCCTCATTAATGCGATGTGTCATCTCTTGCAGAGACAAGGATGACAAGCACAAGCTTGTCACCCGAACAGACTGCAAGAACGAATATCTGCTCAAAGATTGCGACCTTGATTTGCGGGAGCCACCGTTGAAGTACATCCTCAAGCCCAACCCACACCACGCTCATGGCAACATGAAGCTCTATCTGAAGTGTCAGGTATAACTTGCTTGAAATAGATGAGAGTGAAAATTTGTGTCTCATTTAATTATCACTGGTGAGATACAGAAGTTAGAAAA